ACTATGGACATCAGCGTAATGTTGAGCGAATAGAAAGACTCAAAATTTTTCTTTAATCGGATTGCCGTCCGAATACTTTACTTTGAGGACCTCAGCAGGAAAGTAAACAAGCAAAGCGCAGGGTTAGTAAAGCCGTTGAACCGGTAGGCTTTTCGCAGACTGTGTCCGAAAATGACAGTCCGTGGCCCTGATAGCGAAAACGTTATCTAACAAATACCGAGACAATTGCAAGCGGTGCCATAGCAGAGATGCTAAACACTTTTCATTGTTAACACTAGATTTTGCGTTCTCATTCGATAGGAATGTGTCAAAATTCAGTGCTAGCCAAATTAGTGCTCTTTTTTGTACTTTTACTTTGTCTTATATTTTTGTTTACCTGAGACTATTTATATAGGCTTGCTTTCTGTACTGTTAAAACTTCATGCCTTGGGCCGTCGACGCCTGCGAAGCCCGCTGAAAGGCTCAGATATGTCGCTAATTGGTAGGAAATGATCAATTTGTACGCGATAAATACGCTGCTCAAAACAAGATTTGGGTGGGAGTAAGATTAAATTAATTAAATTTGTGAAATTTATTACGGGAGAATAAGGCCGGGGAGGACATTTGGCGAATTTTTACAATACGCGATTAAAATGTTAATAGCATAATATGACGCTTACGCCATCTACATCAGAATACAGTACTAAAGCCAAGCGAATTGAAGTGAAATTATCTTTTAGTTTAAGCTTGTTATTGATACCTGACAATAGATGGCACTGAACACCATATTTCACTACATAGTATAAAACGAAGTCGTCCCGCTGTCTGTCTGTCCCTATGTATGCTTGCTTGGATCTTTAAAAATACGTAACGGATCTTGATGCGGTTTTGTTTACTAGATAGAGTTATTTAAGAGGAAGGTTTATATGTAAGTATATATAAGCCGGGGCGGGTCAAGTTGACACCAGCATTAAATTATTTTTATGCAAACAAATAACATTTGCTATTCGACAACGGTTGAAATTATTCATATGAATATTAACAGATGACAAAATATTTAATAAATATTCCTTTATAATTATTATTTTTAATCAGTGTTTTGTTTTAGTCATAGGTCGATGTTATTTAATTACAGAAAAATATTAATCACTTCAATATTATTAGCATCACAATATTTATAGAATTCTATGTAACATTTCTTAATTTATATAAGATGCCACATTGAAAGACGATACTGTTTATTAACATTTGTAGAAAAGTTTAGTAAAGTTTCTTAAATGCAGAGATTAGCACTATTAAAAATTTAAGATGCTGTTTATAAGAACACTGTATAAGACAAATTGGACCGATATAACATACATTTGGATTTTTAGCTCAAAATGTAAATTGAGGAGTATTTCAGGATGTATTGTACATAACAGTTTTGGTACCTAGACCGTAATATAAAAATTTGGTTGATGTTCCATCATTACCATTTTAGCCTGTTCTAATCAACGGAGGAACATAGATCGACGCTTCTTGAAAAAAAAAAATAAACCACATTTTTGTACATTCATTTATAGTTTTCACATAAACTTACCTATCCGCTTGTATTATAAACACTTAATATTCATTATCCATGATAAACAGTTCGAAATTATTTCAAGAAAATGCAATACAAACAGTCGATTTCTTACAATGCTAGAATAGAAAAAAGGAACCTAGGTATGTATAGACTTGAATCTTATACAATACTAATTTGCTGAAAAATAATCAAGAATGTTCAGTAACAATATAGTGAAAACAAAGGTATTACTTATAACAAGTATTCAGTTTCTTCATACATAGTAAATGTCACCAAAATAATTGTTCGATTGATTCTAAAGTAACAATTCAGTTTAATCGCAATCAATTGAGACCAGATTATGAAAGAATTTTATGTATCGTCAAGACCTTAACACTAACTATTTACACTTCGACACAAACATTAAGTTAATCAGTTTTAAAGGTATCTACTTCGATTGAACAATCAAAGTGGAACCATCCCCATCTTATAGAGTACAAGATGCTATTGTATTCACATCTCACTTACAAAAACACGTCATCTTCTATCCATTGTTTGAGAGTTTTAAGTAACGACGAATGTAATTTATTGTTATAAATACAATAAAAGCATAAGAACAAAAAATAAAAACAAAACAAGAAGTAATCCAAAATGTTTATCGCTTAAATATTAATCAAAGACTATAGTCAAATCCAGTCACGTAACAATAAAAAAAAAACTGTACACACATTCATTACCTACACAACATACAATCTAACATTTATTGACATTTCACAAGAAACAAATTGTATTTTGTCATGTACCTGTTCTCCGAAGGAATCACTGGGCGATTATATTTCTTTATAGACGTAATAAAGCAAAATAAAAATGTAAAAATATTTTTACCAATTTCAAATTAGAAAAGGCACATGTTTTGTATTTTGTTCTAGTGCTGTCACATTAATTTTGAAATTCACATTTTCTACTAACATTTTATTTAATATATCTAACTATTATCTTCTCATTTTATAAAAATGAAAATGTAGCTTCACAGTTCAGAACTCATGAGTCATGGTGAAAATAAATCTTTATCTAAGTCACAAATTAAGCAACTAGTATTAAATAATAAAAATGGAATGTCCACCAAAGTACAACTGTTGGTTTATTGTGGAGTGAAAACAGAATCTGTCATATGATCATGGTGGATGAACAATTACCGCCGAATCTATCAAGATTTTTTACGACGAATGTATCTATATTCAAAATAAACTGTCTAAACACAAAAATCTTATGCTTATGTACAACATCTAGTTCTGGTTTGGTTTACTCAAAACACTTACCTACATTTCATAGGTAGGTATATCCCATTTTAAAGTAGAAGCAAATGTTTGCAGTAACATATTTTAGCTGAGAACTTCAACTCATCATTTGCAATGCATCATTTTAAGCGTTTATCGACAAGTATTATTACTTTAGTGGCAACTAGGAAAAAGTGGATTACTAAGCTGTAACTCATTACTATTGGGTTTCATTTATAAGCAAATGCTTTTCTCAAAATGTTTGCACTCACTTGATACAAATCACTAATTAACAAAACTACACTAGAAAATAGTGTAGAAATATATGATTATGCTGCCAAGAAATAATTCTTTTAGTTTTTATCCTTTGAAAAATAAAGTAACTGTTACCACTTAATTTATTATAATATTACAGTACACCAGCATCTTAGGAATATATCATTGCCAATACTTGCATTATATAAATTGTAAATAGGCAACAATTATTATAAAGTAATGAAAATTCAGTTTATAACTGTCTATTAGTACCCAAACCATTTGAGCTTTACATTTTTTGACACAATATTTTAACTCTGACGTAATGTAGAAAATTATGCCAAGTGAATGATGTATTCAACATTAACAATTAAATACATTAAGTATTTCTAGGGAAACAGTCAAGAGAGGAGATATCCAATAGAATTTTAACGAGTTATTATTTACTAAAGGTTTATATACATTTTGTATGTACATTAATTACCAGGGCATACATAATTCTGTATTGATAGGTTGTTAAATATTAATTTATACACATTGACATTATATTTATTTATAATTTTTTAAAAATAGTGTATCCAGGCTAGCAGTAGACATTTAGTCTTTTTATATCATCTTCATATATATTGCAAAAACTTGTCTATTTTTATGTTATATGCTATATTTTGTCCTGTTGATGAATCAACCATTACAAAACTTTCATTAGCAGAAGGGGAAATCCATTCCATTTATTACTCATGCATTAAAAATTTAGTATTGTGTCTGCACTGGGATTATAATATATATATAAAAGCTTATCAGAACTGCTTTTTTGAATATAATTACATAACAGTTAGCCCAAAAGTCCTATCATAAACTAAGTAGAGCCCAGGTGATAAATACATGTAATGTTTACATGTAAGATTTACACCAAATTGTGTTAAAGGAATCATTATTAGACAATAATTGATAAAATTATGACAAATTATAAGCAAAAACACATTATAATTGAGGACTAAGTATATCTGGCCCCAGTATGATGGACCCTGTACTATGGGAACCAGAGATGGTTGTTACTTACAGTTCTTGAAGAGAAATAATTTTCAAACAATATAGGCTACTGCATGAATTTTCGAATTGAAAAATTAAGGTGCCCTAGATGGCCAAATACGTAATTATTGAGGTATTATAGTTATAGAAAACTAAATAAAAATTAAATGTCATTGTAACCGTAATCGTGTCATTGTAATTGGCAATAATCTGAATTTTAGATTATTGCCAATTATAAATAAAAAATCATCTTAATTTATCAATGCACATCACAAAATTTTCTAAAAAATGTTCAATCATTGTAATATAAAAAAAAAACTTAACCTAAAATATTAGCTTATCATATATTGTTCAATTAAGTTAGTTTTTTCAAAGATAATTAGCAGATAAACATAGATCTGTGTTAAATTACTTGCCTTGCGTGTTAAGTGTCTCTAGTAAGTCAAGTCACAAACATATATTGCAAGGCACACATGCCTATGTCTAAACTTGCGGTTGTATTAGATGGACACATATTTTTAAAGATAAATACATCTGTATAATGCACATTATTACCTAACAAATAGAGATCAATTTGATTTGTTGTATGGAATACACAAAACAATATACCCTTTAACATATTCAACAGCTACATCAGTGTTGCAAAGTATTGGCAGCTGTTACGACAATTGAATTAGATTCATTTAAGTCTTTAATTATTTAAAAATTAGCTCCATAAATACTTATCTTATTAACAACGCACTGGACTTGTTTTCTCTTCTCGTCTTACACAATGTTGTCGTTCATCGTCAACACAATACTGAACCGCAATTGTCACTAACACCGCTTAAACTTTAAACCAGCGTCACTTTCGCGTCAGATACCTCTCAGTGTCATATTTCACGTATAATGAGGATCTTCCTAAAGTCCCAGGATCATTCTGGCTCCGTGTACATGAATGAGAACTTGTCGTGGCTGGTCGGCGCGAGTACCTTCGCCTCGACCAGACACTGGACTATCCACGTGGTGGACACAAGCGGTACATTATCCTGGTTGGCCTTGTTCTGGACCTCGTGTGGACAGTCCCACTCCGTCACGAGGGCCAGCGCTCCGGACATGTTCAAGTCCTCTTCATTCACCACCCGTGTGGACGCCCCAGCCAATGTGCAAACTCGCTCCCAGAATTTCACAAATGTATCGGGGTCACCGCACAGCAGTATGATTTTGTCCTTGAAGAATGTGGCGTTGCGTCTGCCAGAAGATGGGATCTGTAAATGTTTACATCATCTTAGAAATATGAAAAAGGTCAAAGAGCATTTTTATACTGTTAAATAGTATTTTTTCTACCATAAATTCATGGGGACAGTAAATAAAGACAAAGTTATAATTTGAATAAGTAAGCCAGTTAAGTTAGTGCTCTATGAAACAAATTTTATTGTTTGAAGTTAAGTAGTGAGCAATCCCATATTATTAAAATGCATAAAAACCACAATATGTTAAGAGTTGTCAGCTCTTGGTCATATAAATTTCATAATAACTGAATACCTTTTTGGGTCTTCTTCAGTGGTAATGGGGTGCCAGAAACAATATAGACCCATGTATTTAATAAGAATTTGTTTTTATTTCCATACAACATTTGACTTACATAGAAAATCCATTGCCTATCTTATATGCACCATTTGTTTGTAGTCAACAAGAAAGTTTATATTGAAGTCTTTTACAAATAGTTCAAAGAGTATTTTGTGTGGAAGGGGTTGAGTAGTAGTTCCAACGACCACTGCGGCCTGGAAGAACTATTGTAGTCCTCCTTTCGAAAACATTGCCCCTTACTGTATGTATATAGAATAACATTATCCCGTTTCCTATGGACATTTTGCATATAAAAATGTCCGTATCACATTGACAAACATTCAGATCCGAAACGATTATCCGTTTAACACAAATTGATTTCTTGTTGAGATGAATTGATTTTTAAATTACGTCCCGTGACCATGAACGCTGGCTTCGAAACGTCGCGAGTTTAAAAGTCAAATTGAACGCGATAAAATCCGGGAATACGGTTTCGTCTTACAACGTCTCGCACAAGTCGTCTCGTGTGGGAATCGAACCGACGACCCCTCGAAGCCAATGGCAACAGCGCCACGGAGTCATAAGGGACACATTATGCGGTACGTTTGGACGCACCCAGTTGATGAAGACTTCCTTCAGTATCGACCAGCCGGCGGGCAGCGCGAACGCGTCCGTGTCCAAAAGGGCGCCGTTGATGCAGGACATGATGACCCATCCGTGGGAGATGGCGCGTATGTCGGCCGCCAGGCACTGGATGTATTTCGCGGTGAGGCAGGGGCGGGGCGCGATCAGCTTGCAGACGGAGTACTTCCCTTTGGGCACGTCGTCGAAATGGCTGAAAGGGAGGATTAAACGGTAAGGTATCAGTCTGGACACATCCCACTGCTATTTGGGCACGTCATCGAAATGGCTGAGAGAATTAAAAAGTATCAGCCTATACATGTCCCGCTGCTGGTCAAAGGCCTGCTCTGTATGGAGAGCATTAGGATACAGTCCAACACGCTACGTGCGGATTGGCAATTGACACATAAAATTGGCAAAGGTTATTGTGTGAAGTATCACACTTTTTTCTTATTATTTCGAAAATATGCGGGTTACCTTCCTCACGATGTCTTCCTTCAATGCTGAGCGTGTGATAACATCATGGCTTTGGTTTTAGAACTCTAGTTGCTTCAGATAAATTAAGCCGGCGCCGGTACATTGAGCTATGATGGTGATAGCTTATTCTGCAGGCTCGCTTTTAGTTCAATATACTCGAGCAATCTGATTTCGATCCCTGGTGCCGGCATCATTGTTAATTTTAAGTGCTACACTGTCATGTGCTCAGGAAAAAAGGAGAACATCGGAAACCTGCATATTTTCGAAGTAAGAACAATATAATATACAGGGAGACTTTTTTAAAGGTGCTCAAATTTACACAGGAGGTTCAGACTCGGCAGTATAATCGTTTATTGAAATAAAAACAAACTTTTTTTTAAAAAAAAAGTTCCCATTCTACTCCCTAAAAAACAGAATGTGTTGACAACGTGGTAGTCATTCATAAATACCTAAATTTTACTGTTCACGCACAAAAACGAACTTGTGTGCGTGTTAGTTATGAATGATCGCGCGTTAAATAAATGAGTTGCGTATAAATCACGCACTTTTTGAGATATGTTCAAATGAATGTAATTAATTACTTACGAGTGATTTAAAATATTTTTAATTTTTTATATAACATTATACATTTTAGTCTAAAATTTAATTTTAAAAAATGCATACACTTAGAAAAGCCTCCCTGTATTTCCAAGAAATGTGAAGGCTGCCAATTTGTAGTAGGGCCGCGTGGTGAACTAAGCCCTAATATCCTCTGTACAGAAGAGGCCTTTAACCAGCAGTGGGACATACTCTATAGGCTCATACTTTATCAGTTGCTATCTTGGCACGATGATATAGAATCTATATATAAATTTTCAAGACTTTTTTTAAGTACGCCATAAATTGTTCCATTAGCCATAAAACACCATTTTAAAGCTTATATTTGGCGCTATTGGCGAAAACTAGATTATAGTAAATGTTTTTATAACAAGTCAACTTTTTTATTAACGAAAACAAAACCGACTTCAAATATCTGGCAGTGTATTCATTATATAATTGATTTTCATGAGTTCCCTATGTATCTCCGGAGCCGAAGATCCAATAGAAATTATTAAATCAGAAAGTATTATCAAAATCTGTTCACTCAGTAAATAGTTTTAAGGTAAAAAACATAAAAAAAAAAAACAGTTGAATTGAGAACCTCCTCCATTTTTGAAGTCGGTTGAAAATAACTTACATTTGAAAAAAGATTTCGTTTAAAAACTTTTGTTTATAAACACCGAATGCATAATAGCGCCATCTACTGACCGTTTAAATGAAATGTAGATAAGTTGACTGAATTTAACTCTCATTTCATTCTGTGATTGATCACAGTACCAGCGAAATTTTCGCATGGGTCAACTATTTCTAGTTACATGTTTCTATAAAAATCAACACACCTATGAACGATACCCCCTCCCGCCTCTAACTGTTCCTTGAGACGCTCCTTGTTGAAGGGCCTCTCGCAGAACACCAGATCCTCTGTGTCGGTGCCACCCATGGCCGAAGTTGCCTCACTGTCCTCCTCCGAGGAATAGTGCCGGCTCTCTTGGAACTGCTAAAAAGAGAATGTTTGAACAACAGTTATTGAGAAATTTAACAAATATCATTTCACATTCAAGGTAGACAGACACCTTTCAATTTTAGATTGTTTTAGCTTTTTTTTAATGACAAAAATTATCACCATTTATAATGCATTTTACTAAATCTTGTATTACTATAATTACTTCTATAAGAAAAGACTTCTGCTGCTATAAACGGACCGGCTCCAGTCAAGTACCATACCTTCACAGAAGCCTGGTGTGAAATATTACTTCTAATTATATTTGCCTTAATTCTGGATTCTAAAGAAAAGTCTACCACACCCACCCTATAAAGGGTACCCAGTTATGTTGGACATATCCCTTGTGTGTAACCTACCACCTTGAAAAAACTAATTAATAATATTTTTTTATTTTTAGTGTAATATGTGTTTCATATTAATATCATTTAAGATAAAAATTTTTGATTATACATCTATTAAACTAACATTTTAGGAACTAATTACCTTCTGGATCCTCTCACGCCTCGGTGGCTCTGTGCAAGTGAGTAAAAAGTGTAGTCCTTCAAAGAGTTTACTGCCACTAGGAATGGGTCCGAGTGTTGTGCAGGTGTCTTCGTCGTTCTCAAACTTGGTGAGTTTGGAGTTCTTCTTGCCGATGTTCTGCTTCGCTGCTCCTTTCAGTTGCAACGGTCCGGCTGGAAACATGATGCGTAATAGAAATCATAAAACAAAATTACTTAAGTATTCATGTATTAGCCCAAATACTGAAAAGAAAATTTAATTCTGAATGTTATAACACTTGAATCTCAGCTTCATTTGGACAGTTTTATGTATTGATAAAGATAATGTAATATATATATTTGTTTTATTGAATTACAACTAAATTTATTAAAGAATTCAGACAAACCTGTACAATTAAAACGGTGCATATCATTAAATAGACTTATGATACAATGAAAATGATGTTGCGGTGGACATACTAGATTAAAATTTATAGTATCATATAAGGTTGAAAACATGGAATGATGGACTGATTGCAATGGCAATGGCTGGCAAAGAATTTGAATTTGAGAATTTTGCTTGAAAAATCATTGAATGAATTGATTGTTAATAACATTTTTACAGACAACTATCTATTCCTGGCCATACATACAATTTTTAATAAAGTGACACCAATGAAATGAAGATAACATTGTGTGGTCATCCAGTTCTGGGTTTATTAGAGACTCAGTTTTTTACCTCACCTTTATAATTCTTCTGTATGTGTGTATGTCACTGAACTCTTTTGTGTCTCTTGCGGTTCGATTTGAGAATGGTTAAAATTCACAATTCTGTCCACAGTTTTTTTTAATTTTTTTATATACAGGACAGTGTCTATTGGGTCCACTAGTTATTTTTCAGCGGTTTAAAATCAAAAAGATACCTTTTACAGAACAGACAAGCAGACAAATGCAATTAAATAAAATTAAATGAACATATTAGAGACCTTTGACTCCATCTATCTTCCTCGGTGTCCTCTGTACTTCTGGCTCCACTCCCGCCACCTCCTCTAGGCGCGTTGGTGGGGCGGAGTTGCTACTTTCGCTCATCTCACTGCTCTCACTTGCCAAACGCTTCCTTACCCCAGCTGGGGTGCTTTTTGTCTTCACACCTAGAATAATTAATGGCTGGCTCTTAAACCCTTCATAAGTTATTACAGTTTTATATATTCACTTAGTGGCGACCCGATCTTTGTAGTAGACATTGAACTTGTGTCTTGCGCCTGAAGGTGAGGATTCAATCCCTAATACTGGAAAAACATTGTGTGATGAACATAAGTGTTTTCCAGTGTGTGGGTGTGATTTTATAGACGATGGACATATTAACAGAGCATATGCAGAATTTGGTTCTAAATCTGAATTTGGTGTGTACTTGTGACCTTAAGAAATTCCTGCCTTACCGTCTCAATACAATGGCCTATTCACAAGCACTAAAACTGTTCGCTGAACACTGAACACATAATGACTAAACCGCTTATCAATAGTGTGACCACTCTTAACGGGATGATCAAACAATGTTTGAATTGAAATTTTTCTGGTTATTTCTTGTCACAATAAAATATTAATATTCTTTTTAAATTATGGAATGCTCAATTATGACAAAGTATGTACTTTGTATAAAAAATCCCAATACATTCACATATTGTTAATTGTAAAACATATTACATGATTTATGATTTTATATAAACTTCCATTATTTGAACCCCTTAGGGATAAAAATAAAGAAAAAAACTTTGCGCTTCACTCACTGTAGACATAGAAGTTATTACATTGATAGAATTTGAAATCACACCAATGGATTGCAACTTTGCTTGTAAGCCAGCCCTTCTTTTAGTATAATAAACCTTTTAAATATGTAATTTTAACTTTACAACATTACCTGTTTCTTTAATTTTGACAAATAATATCTATCAAACATATTTTATTTAATAGAGTAGTTGTCTAATAAGTATCAAATAATGTATACCAGCTGTTTCTTGCCTATACACTTTTAAATTGTCCAGTAACTATGGAAAGTAGCCGACACTAATCTCGGACAATATCTCAATTTATCTATCTAAGCTACTATCAAAATCGCCCCAGTTGTTTAAGAGATTAAAGCAAATTTCTAATAAGCAAAAACCAAGAAAAAAATTAAACATGATTAGATTTCTTTAAAATTTGAACAGCCATGTTGTAAAGCACCTTTTTTATTTTAATTTCATTATGTAAGCAGACACTTTAATTTTATTTAGTTACATAGACTATGTGTTCTGTTCCATCTTTGCAGATCTTATATCTGGTACATGACTTTTAGTCATATTGAATATTTAATTGAAAAATATTTGAAAATGATTAAGCATCAATAATCAGAAATTATTTACAAGAATTGACATTACTATATTAATTTAATTGTAATGAAATACATATTCCCAATGTTCAGGAGTATAATGTAAAATAATAGCCTAAATTATAAATAACTCATTTAAATTTTAAATTGTATATCACAACTTTTTTACCAGAACCAACACTAGGAGCCATAACTGGCATAAACAAAACTGGCACATTAGTCTTATAAAAATATTGCGTATTTATTGAAAGGCTAAATAATTAATTAGTTTTGCATAGATGGGGACATCTTTCACTGACCACCATAATCTAAACTTTTAGTACTTAAAGTTACAGGATGTGTTTGAATTAATTATCATGATTATAATAAAACAATATTGACAGTTTTATAACATTTTAAATGTTTCTTATTTATTTATAAAAAAAAAATCATAAAAAAGTATATATTTTATGTTGTCTGTTCTATACTTTTTAAAACAATACAATATTTTTTATTTGTTTTGTTAGGAAAATATTAATCTTTCTTCTGGTTCTAGCGTACCTGATGTAGATGCTTTAGGACTCTTGGGTGAAGTAACCCGTTTCTTTGCACTGGAGCTGCCTTTATCTCGGCTACGGGCGCTGCGGGGACCCTGTTGATAAAAAACCATGTCTGATTATTTTATACTCTAGTAATTCTTATATTGAAGTGTTAATTCATCATCAGAACTTTTTCAAAGATGAAATATTTATAGTAATTATGGAGGCATTCAAAGACACAGTGCATCAGAAGTATTATACTTTCATGTTTAGTCTGGTGAGTGAGGTAACCATAGCCCAGGTTTGCAATGGTTGGCGCACTTGCAACTCATCAGGTGTTGAAGATGTTCATGAATGACAATAATCACTTGACATCAGGTGAACCATCTGCTGTTATCAAACTTTTCCATTAAGTAAAACACCTTGCATACCCTCCGTGAATGCTCATGGATGTTAGTATTAATTTACAATTGGGTAGACCATTGATTAGAGCATATCCTTGATTTCAATTAACATACCTGTCTTTCTTTCTTTCTCCCTTTTAGAAATATAGTCTATAACCAGCAAGGCGAGTAGACTGTAAGTAATTTACCTAAATCAAATTTCGTTAACTCAATCTCTCATGCCTTTACTTTAGAAGGAAACTAAGTATGGTGGTGGTCTATGGCATCCCTCAAAGAACAATTATAAAATTAAGAACAAGTTTTTTAGAAGTTTTGCATTTCAAAGACTCTGCTCATTTGATACATGTGTGAATTAATATTTACTTCTAAGTTTATTAGAAAACAAAAAATATCAGACAATGACGGATTCTACTTTATGGCATACATTTTAAATGTAAATGAAAAAAAAAAAAAGTTCAAATGTAATGGAACAAATCTGAAATTATAACATTATTTATATATAGTATTCGGTGCCCAATATGTTATGGCAGACCATTTACGCGGTAATGATAGTGGTTATTACTCCAGAGTTCACAATCTTCACCTGTATGATGTTGTCCAGGTCCAGCTCTCTATGGTGGCGGCGGCGCGGTGTGGAAGGCGCTGCAGGAGATCGAGGCCTTGCAGACTCCTTCAGCGAGCGAGCCTGGTCTTCGGTCAGGTACAGCTCGCTGGCTGTCACCATCACTATCGTGTCGCTGCCAACAGCGGGGATCGAACGTGAGACCAGTGATTCATACAGACCTCGTCCGGGAAAGTACCACAACCTCACAGAAGACCGGAGTAAAGTGGAAGTATAATACTTTCGCGTTTCCTCTGGTGAGTCAGGTGGAGGGAGATCAATTTTAAAAAGCTTTTTAACGCATCTGCAACTCTCGGGTGTAGAAGATGTCTATGGGCAGCGGTATTCACTTAATATCCGGTGAACCATCTGCTCGACAACTTTTCGCATATAATCCTCCTCCTTTCGCATATAAGGTCCTCTCGTAGATAATCACGAGACCACAGATTATATGTGGTAGGGCCACGCAGAAGATTCAGCTGTTGCAAGTATGGTCAGAGAAGTACCACGGCCTCATAGAAGACCGGCGTGAAGTTGAAGTATGTTACTTTCGCGTTTCGCTTGGTGAGTGAGGTAGCCGGGGCCCACTTATTTCAACGGTTGTCCATGCATTTACATCCCCTCAGGTGTTATAGATGTTAATGGATGGACCATTACTTAACGTCAGGTGTAACTTTTCACTTAAAAAAAAACACAGTGACGATTTCCCATGCAGATAACCATGAGGCCATAGTTACTTGGTTCTTTTGGAGATAACCACGATTGTTCGTTAGCCGGTGCATTATTAGTATTAAAGTGATCATGTTTTGCCTCTTTGGTTCGAAAACAAAATGATAATCGGGATATATGCACATTACAAAATATCCAACACGGCGAGCGGCATTTTTTTTTCTTTCCATTAGCATGTGCCCGCGACTTTGTTCACATTTATCTTATAACGATATTACGTGAAGAAGTTTTCAAACAATACAACACTGTTTCCTGTTTAACTAACGCAACGATCTTCTTAAACTATATAAACCAATAACTAAACAGATTCATTTAATTTTATAGATATGTCAATTAATGAATAATAATACTTATACCTTTTGATCCTTGATAGATATAAAAATTCAAGTAAATATTCCTGTTTCAATGACTAACATTTTCGTTGAATCCCTTTGATTTGTTTCAGGGTCCGTTTGAGCGAAACATTCATACACACATAATAAATACAATTAGCACGTGAGTACACTTAGTAAAGTGATTATATAAATATATATATATATATCCCACGGCTGGGGAAAAGCAAAGGATATAAAGGCATAGTTTACCACTGCGGATTGGCGGACTTCACGTATCTTTTGACGTATTTTTTTTTATTTTTTGGAAAATATCCAGGTTTCCTTACGATGTTTTACTTCACCGCAAACCATATGAAGTCAGCACTACTCACGATCGATATATTTACAACTTCGATTGACTAATAATGTAATTCTACCAAAAGGTCGACCATCAATGCCATGTAGTTAATTTTTCTGGATATTTCACGATTTTTGCTAGATCCCGTCACCCCTTCTAAACCTTACGCGATAAATGGACGATTCCTTTTAACATTAATAATATGATAAATGTGACATGTATCCCAGACCGCCGAGATTCGCAGAAATATATTGTTTGTCCGTTGTCACGCGTAGACGGGTCTGAACAGATTTCAATGAAATTTAAAATTGAGATCGGCTGTACCCTGAATTATCATTGAATACATTTCCCGTGACCGCTTAAAACCCTTTGTTTTGAGGAGAAAAACAAAATCGAAGCAAAGCAGTGCAACATAATTTTTTAATATTCGCGTTTCTGAGTCACTGCTGTACAGGGTCTGGAGTTTTTAAATTCATTGTATTCAGACAATCACAGTGCAAATAACGGTACCGTTAGCAAAGAAATTTTGAAATACAATTTTACGTGCTGATCTAAAACATTCTACACGAAAGGGAACATCGTCAGGGAACCGCATAGAACATTCACAATAACACTAATAACTCTAGAAGATTTTGGATTTTTATAAAATTTTCACTTTGATACTTGCTCTGTAGCAGGATATGACTATATCCATTACTAGCTGCTGCCCGCGACTACGTCTGCGTAGGATAGGCTGAAGGCGTAACATTCAGAAAGAAAGACAGATTTACATAAATATGTATATAAATTGTAGCCTATGTCTCATTCTGATGTGTAAGCTATATTAGTGTAAATTTTCATTAAAATCCATTCAGTAGTATTTGCGTTACATACAAACTTTCGCGTTTATAATATCAGTAAGGATAGTAAGGATTAGTCGAAGGAGAGATCAAACATCTCTTACCCATCCGTGGTGCATCTGTACGTAACGGTCCCGTTGTCATGCTCCTCCACGGCCAGCACCAGCCCGGGCTCGTAGTTCTGCTCCTCGTCGACCAGCGCGTACACCGACTGCCCTTGGAGGGGCAGCTTCTTCGTGTCGCCGAATATTATGAACTCGTCCAGCAGCACTTTGCTCTGGCCGTCGTCGAACTTGATCAGGTACTTATTGGGCTCCGTGATTTCCAACACCCTGCCGGAGTAGTAGCGCTTGTCCACCCACTTGGCCAGCACCACGGTGTCGGCCGCGAAGCCCGGGTATTCCGGCTTGATGACCACCTTTTCCACAGGAGTGGCGGGACGTGGAGAGGTTGGTCTGCGTTTCTGCTTCAGCTTGCTCACCGACTTGGGCGTGCCTACCAGCGAGGAGAGTGGTTTCTCGTCCTTAGGCGAGGTTTTGCCGCTATCGCCGTTGGTCGGCACCATTTCCGGGGAGTTCATTCCGCGCATGTACTCCGGCTCCTCGGGCTGCGTTGGCAGCAGGGCGCGTTTGGTCTTCCCCGCCATGTGCCTCCGGCCCCTTACCCTGGTCTTCTTGAGCGAGCTCTTCGGTGTGGCCTTGTCGCACTTGCTCACCTCCTCGGGGCTCGCGTTGCCGTTGCTGACCGTTTCAGAGAGCGTTTGCACGGCGACCGACACTTTCTCCTCGAGCGAGCGATTCGCCTCCTCCACTGACGCCTCCCGTATGTGCGAGAATATGTCCTGGAGCTTCTTCATCAGGGCGTCGTAGCCTTTTACCGAGACGGTCGGGTTGGACACGGATTTGCGGGGCGGCTGGGGCACGACGAACGCGCCGTCGCTGGTCCTTGTTGCTGGATGTGGAGGTGGAGCTGACGGTGGACGCGAAGGAGGTCCTGACGGGCAGGTTCACCATGCCCCCGCTGGTGACGCTGGACGGCGAGCCGCTGACGGACACGTCCGCCATGTACGGGTCGATGGTGAACCGCTTCGAGATCCTCTGGTACTCGCGGCACATGTCCATGCCCAGGTCGTTGTCCGTCCGCACGACGTACAGCGAGAGGAACTCGCAGTCCTCGTTGTGGGTGACGTGCACGTCGAAGGCCGGTATCTGAGGAGTGTTGACGGGCAAGGAGTGGCCGTTCTGCAGCGGCGATATGGTCGACGGCGTCGTCGCGTTGCTTCCCCTGAACGATTCGTTCTTGCCCAGCTTCGCCTTTCTGCCGTTCAGCTTGACAAGGTCGGGAGTTCCATCTTCTGCGCGCTTGCCGTCGCTTCCTTCTGTCGGGGTCGAGGAGTTGCCGTTGGATAGTTTCGAGATTAGCTTGGAGGCGACGGTGGGCACATGGTCGGGACTGTCTAAGTTGATGGAACAAACGCTGTCTGTGCTTTCTTGGTCAGTCGTTTTGCCCAGATTGTATTCGTTAGGCAGCGGTTGCGATTGATTGTTACTTAGGTCCGAATAATTGTACCCTTCACTCCTGGTTGGCGGTATGGGTCCACTATCTAGGATTTCTCCTCTGTCCTTAACCACGACTGGATCACTATTGTAATCAGCTTGCCCCGGTTTCTCCACAACTGGTGCCTCAGAATCCGAAGAAGGAGATAGTGCTAGGTGAAAGTCCTGAGAGTCATTAAGTTCAGGAATCTCTGCAACTGTTTCAGGTATTTTAACAGGAGCTTTTTCAGCCACAAACTCCACACTTGGTCTGGAAGTGCAAGAGTCTGAACTAATTGTTGTAGTGGAATATCAGATAATGTAATTTCTTTGACTTTTTCTAATGTATGGACTTTCTTAGCAGATTTAGTTAAGTCTACACTAGCAGGTCTAGACTTCGGAGTCTTTGGTGTTTTTAATATGCTAACTTCAACACTGTTGCTACGTTTTGTGATCTTCCTGGGACTGGGTAACACTGGGGTATGCAGTCTTACAGTAATGGGTAACTCATCTTCTGTTTTGCTCTTTGCCATTCTTGTAATAAGAGAAACTTCCTCATCTAGAGTTTGGGAGGATACCACATTTTCATCAACAATTTCAATGATATCTAGTTTTTGAATTTTTGCGGTACTATCTGGGCCTTCATCGGATAGCTTTCTCTTAACTATTGATAATGGTTGAACACCTGTAAAAGAATATCAGACATAAAATATATCTTATCTACTGAATTAAACAAAAAATTTGTTTATGCACCATATGTACCTTGAGAATCAGCCTCTTCTACTGTTTTACTATCCATCTGTGTATTAAAAAAGAGTGGGTTATACTACATGAACAAACTATAGTTTACTATTACAATGTTCTTTGTATTAACATGTTTATAAAAAAGATTGCATTAGTTGACACGGACACTGTTCAGTAATAATGAATGTAATTTACCTCTTGAATGTCCTCACATTTAAGAACATCATCTTCAGGTTCGTACACAGGGCTGTCAGGAAACAATGACTGAGATGTGTTTATGATAGCTGTAGTTACATTTTCAGAGACAGATCCCAACTTCTGTTCCTCTGCGCTTTCTGAAATATCAAAGAGTCCAATTACTAATATACACTTCAAGGTCCAATAATATAAAATAAAAATTTTAATAAAAAAAAAAAAACTAAAATGTAAAGAATAGTGCCATAGCTGTGACATAAACCTAAATGTATACAACATGCCCGCTGAATGTTGCATACTTGCTTGCATGTCTAGGGTTACCATGTGACCACAAATATCATCTAACACCTCCACATTAAGACTATTCTAATGAGACCAAACACACTGTCTATGATAGGTTTTTAAGGAATTGAGCATTCCATTGACTATTAATGATACTACAGCATCAGCTCAAGGTAAGCATGACTTGGAAATACCACTGAAGCAGGAGTACAGAAAACTTCAAATCAATTGCATCTGTGAAAGTTAAAAAGATCCTTTTTGTCAAGTAAAAATTGAGCTGATGATTATTTAAAAGCCTTAACAGATCTTCATAAATTATAGATAAGAACCATATCAATCATATCACCTTTCAAACAAAAATAATAAATCATTACTGGTCCATTTGTTTAGAAGTTACAATGTCACAGATACACAGATAGACATAACAAAGCCAGTAAAACAACTTTATATTGTTTAGGAATAAAACTAAGTAGCTAAGTGATAGTTAATTCTGTTAAAGAAGTACCAGAGAAATGAATTGCTTTGGTTAGATTTTCTGCACTGTTTAAAATTGTTATAAATGCATAAAACCATATAATGGTAAAGATATGAATAGAAATAACCTTAAATGCTTTAGAAAAACTGAATCAAAAAATACTAGTCATCATTAGTTAACATGATTTATTTATTCTATATTCTCATTGAAATGATTTATTATGATCAAGATATTGAATACAGCAAGCGTTTTCTGCTGTGTGCAACGTTTTGTAAGAATAACACAGCAATGTCCAATAAGTTTACTGTTCTTGTAACTAGCTCATTATTGTTTATATATATAATTAATGTATGTAATGTCATATATTATCAAAATACATTCAAGATACAGAACTTAAGCATACGAATAACGTAGCTTTATCAAATTCTATGTTTTAATTAACGGCGCACATTCAACTTGATCGGCTAGTGTTCACATCGCCGCGTTGTGGGTCGGATCATGAAATAGCAACTTCACCTGGTGCCTGGCTTGTAGAAACAACTTCCGATATATCTTGAGCCGTGGATTCTTCCATTTTTGACAATATATTCAGGATTGTTAAAAAACTGGCGCGATTTGTCTCTTTACCATCTGTCACTCCAATCAGATAGCTACTTTACACATTTCTGTATTATTTTAAGATGCAAGATATACGAAGATATATTTTATTATGCCAAATCAACTTAATTGTCGATTACAACAGCTAAAAACCTTATTATATTAATTAAAGTAATATTTGGAAAAAATCGACATTAACACGGCCGCTTGTTGATTTGGCCAGTGTTACAATTGGAAAAAATTAAATGCATAACAAAATATTAATTAAAAATTTGTATAATAAATCTTTTTTTTTATTTTACAGAGCCTTTTTTTACGATTCTTTATTAAATGCCTAAAATAAAGCAAAATAAATTAAGCTTTAAATTAAATATCTAAAAGTATTTATATTTGTAAACTTTTCTATAGATAATTATTACATGCACCCCAAAATTAAAGTAACATACATTTTGCAATAAATAATTATATAATCTATTACTATTTAAAAAAAATGAAATTTTGTTTTGTGCCTCTAACATTGATTTCACACATTTTTGTCCTTTACAAAATTGTTTCACGACAGGGGTCGCCTAGACGCAGTGTCATCGTTGTACACCAACTACACTGTTTCTCCAGAGGGGTCGTTTACCCTCAAAAAAAAGGAAAAGAAAAGTATAAACACAAACGTATACTGAATGACCAGAATGGAGCTAATTTAATCTAAGAGTGAGACCTACATGATAAATTGAAAACGTAGTGTAGCATATTAATAAAAAAAATGGAGCTTCCGTTGAACTGTGTAGAAAATAGGCTGTGAAAACGCTTCCTCGTTGTCATTTTATGGACACTTTCTATACATTGTGATACTACTCTAATTATTTTTACACTCCAAACTTGATACAGAAAATCCGGGTATATACCGAAAATACGTATAAAGTTACGCAACTAAACAAATTACATAGAACGTAGAAAATTGGTACAATTTATATTTATATTATGATTTTTAGTTGATTACGGTTTCTGTTGGTTTAAGAAAACTTTACTGATAATTTAAATAAATTTATAATAATTTAGTTTATCACAAAAATTTTAATAATTTAGAAGTAAATTTTAAAAAAATATGCTATAAGTAGAAATGTATTGATTGCAACAATGACCATAATGGGGATTAATACAGATGTATACTCCACAGGGATTACGAATGCTGAAACAAATGAACAAATCTGGAATTTTCATATTCGGTTCAAAAATATGCCAAGACAGGAAGCAAGATTCGTTATCTTCTTTACCTTTGGAGATGTCTTGGAAAATATTTTCGTGAGTATGAACGTTATTAATATTATTGAGGAACAAATTATAATCAGGGGTGAGGGTAGTTTAATGTCTTTGTTTGTCTATTTCAAGCAAATAGGCAGTTGAATAATTTACACGTTGGTTTTTTTTGGTATGTTTCATTGAATTAAAATGATTTGTTTGCTCGTTTTTATATAAGGGTAGAAAGAACTTTGTTCTTCCTTTACTTAGTTTACTAGTATAATAATACTGCTATTGTAAACTTTATACAGAAATTTATGTTTTCTCTATCATATATTTTTGTATGCTATAGGTTGATTTAGTAGTTTTGGTAAACTTTTTTTACGATCACCAATTCCTACATATTTTTTTTAGATTATTGGACGATGCATCTCTTCGCAATGCCACTAAAGTGAATTCGATATGGCGTAGCGTAATTCTTTTAAATAAAACGTTACGAAAAAGACTGAATATATTTGAAACGGCACTAATGTTAGGCTCAAAAAATTTGGTCAAATACTGTGATATAAAAAAGAGACGGCTGAAGGCAAAGAAATCAAAAAATTATCTGTCCCTTGGAGAATGCATAGGTGATTTTCATAGTTATGAAAAGTATTATTATAATTATTATTACATGAATATATAAGATTTGAAACGAGACGCATGAAAGAAAAACGGCCAGGTGCAAGTCGGAGTCGTGCTCGAAGGGTTCCGTACCATTTTATTTAAAAATGGGAATAAAAATCATGTCTGATGTATGGGAGCATATTTTTTATTCTGGTTTTTAGCATTTGTTGATATAGCGACAACAGAAATACATCATCAGACGGACAGACATACAGACAGACAGTGGAGTCTTAATAATAGGGTCCCGTTTTACCTTTTGGGTACGGAACCCTAAAAATGTATAAATGTTCAATGTGTAATAAATAGTAAATAACACATCAGAAAGAAAGAAAAATACAGAAATACAACTATTTAGCACTGAGGTTAAATTATATTTATTCCTAAATCAACGTAAGGAAAATTTGAAATGTTTTTACGTAAGATTAATTTCAAGTACTTTAAAGAAAATTTCACGTAGGTACCCACTTTAGAGCTTTCTACTTTACTTTAGTTACGAAGTTTTAATTTTACGGTTCTGTACCCAAAGGGTAAAACGGTACCCGTTTGTCTGTCTGTCCGTCTGTCACCAGGCTGTAACTAATGAACCGTGATAGTTAGACAGTTCAAATATTCACAGATAATGTATTTCCGTTGCCGCTATAACAACAAATAAATACTAAAAGAACACAATAAAAATTATTTAAGTAGGGCTCTCATACAACAGACATTTTTTTTTGGCGTTTTTATAGATAGTAGTACGGAACCTCTCATGCGCGAGTCTGACTCGCACTTGGCCGGTTTTTTTATACCTGTACTTGTGGTATAAAGTTATATAACTTATTGTATACCTACACTTTCTTTTTCCAGTTCAGCCAACGAAAACAGTTTACAAATGTAAACGAGGTGGAGGCGACCTTATTATTTGCACAAAACGTTTTAAAATACATTAACTGTTACACGATAAAAAATAGGCAATCACATTTTTACGGATCACTGTTTTAGGTTGACAATTATTATTCGCCTTCAATCCAGGTGCGGTTACAGGAGACAGGTGGTGGAAATAATATGCCATACCAGTTGTTTTTTGTCCACGTCCAAAACTTATTAAACACGACTTTCTGTGTTTTATTATACCTGTAAATTAAAAAAAAAAAAAAAAAACGTTAATGATCCGATTGTAACAATGACTTATAAATTTTTGTTCGATAGTTACCTACCAGTAACCCTTTTATACAGTGTATTAAATTAAACTCTGTGTTGCAAAGTTTAGGGACATACCTGTATTATTGTGTACTAGCTGTGCCCGCGACTTCTTCTGCGTGGAATTTAAAATAAAAAAATCTAAAATAAAAGTAGCCTAAGTTACTTCTTCTTACATCAGCTATCAGCCAGTGAAAGTCCCGTCCAAATCGGTCCAGCCGTTTCTGAGATTAGCCGGAACAAACAGACAGAAAGACAGACAAAAATTGTAAAAAAAATGTTATTTTGGTATATGTACCGTGTATACATCCATATGTATTTATTAAAAAGCGGTTATTTTAATTTTACAAACAGACACTCCAATTTTATATATATCTGTATAGATAAAATAGTTTTTTTTTTATCCGAAGAATTAAAGAAAACAGACCAATTGTACAAAATAAGTATATGGTTTTGTTTTCATACGAAATTTTTTACATGGAAATGATAATCTGTTATCTCATAATTGAGTTATTATCTTGCCATTGCATTATGTAAATTATTTTTATGTGAGAAAGTGGCGAACGAGCTGGCGGTTCACCTGATGTTAAGTGATAACCGCCTGCCCATTGACATTTGCAACACCCGTAGTTGCAGATGCGTTGCCACCTCTCAATAATGTGGGCCCCGGCTACGTTACTCACCAGACGAAACGCAGAAGTGCAACACTTCTACTTTACGCGGGTCTTCTGTGAGGTCGTGGTACTAACCCGGAGGTGCCCATTCGTGCAACAGCGAACACTGTTGCGTGGCCCTACCACCGTAAATAAAAGTAAATTATAATAATAATAAAAGTAAATGTAAATTATTATATGTTTTTCGTTTTATTCATATCTTGGGATAGGCATATGGTGGGATTATAATCGTTAATTATTGAGAGCAATCCTCGGTGGTGGGACAATTTCGGTCAGTGTCTTTAACGCCTTGTTCCTTTTGATTTTTTCCATACTTTTTTTTCACTGTAAACTTAATGAGATTTTTAAACCAAAATAATTAAAATCATTAGTTTATTCCCAACTATCTGAAGGGTGAATTTTTATTAGCACAACATGGTTACTTCAATGCGGGAAGCACCGATTTTTTAATATCCTGGAATGGCTTAATTTGGTTCGCAATGACTCTGCGGATAGACGACACAAACATGTTCTCAGTGTCCTCTGCAGCAATGCGCTTTGTAATATTGCAGACCAGGGCTGTACTCAACTTCCATCCATTTATAATATATTGTATATATATACTATATATATATATAAAACATCGTGAGGAATTCTGCATATTTTGGAAACAATAAAAATAAAAATATTTCGAAGATACGTGAGGTCCGCCAATCCACAGTGGGGCCGCGTGATGGACTATGCTCTGATACCCTCTGTAAAGAGGAGGCCTTTGCCCAGCAGTGCGACATGTACAGGTTGTTACTTTACTTTACGCTGAAGTGAAGGCTGACTACCACGTGAGTAAGTGAAAGTATTTAAGATTGGCGACGCAGTGCCACGCAACATTTAGGTGTTCTTGGACCTGCGGATGGCGGTAATCATTTACTACCAGGTGAAATAAATAGAATTAACTCGCACTTATGTACCTGATATATTTTGGTCCATGCAATGATTGCCGCCCAATCTACAACCTATACTGAAGAAGTTTTTTTTCTAATGTTGTGTCACGTTTTTCTGTGTGGGTTAGAGACATTATTCATCATCATCATCATTTCAGCCTGTTTGAGTCCACTGCTGAACATAGGCCTCCCCTATAAACCATTATTAACATTCATTTATCTATTCACGCTGGGACATCATTACAGCTATACAATGTACCGAATACGAAACGAATAACATACAAAAAATAAGTAAAGGACAAACG